CAGCCCTGGCTGTCCTGGAACTCTGAAGCCAGAGTTCCAACCAGGCTGGTCTCGAACTCATAGAGATCTGCCTGCCTCTGCTTCCCGAGTGCTGGTATTAAAGGTGTGCATCACCACTGTGCCTAGCACATCTATACTTTCTTAATCCCACCAGCATAAAACCCTGGGAATTAGACTCCTGCAGGACAAGCGGACAACTGTATTTGAACTACAACACTGGTTGCTTTTTCTTCTCTGAGATCTTTTTCCTACTAAATCATCATTGCCTTAATAACTCTCAGGTGCATTTTAAAATACATTCCATCCTTTTCTCACACTTTTTCTCATTAGTCAGAACAGAAGAAGTCCAATGACATATCCCCCTTACTTCCGTAAGTCGGACTCCCCTGACGGACAAAGCAGGATATACCTCCCATCACTCGGAAGGTTGAGGCAGGATCAGCAGCTGGAAGCCAGTCTGGATATAAACACAGAGTATCAGTCCAGCCTGGATGTAAATCCTTCCTCAAAATTAACTATTGCCTAGGCTGACCTTAACCTCATTACAAGGCTAGCCTTGAATGCCTTGATCCTCCTGCCTCACATCCTAAGTGATGGGATCACAGGTATTCACCAACAGGGCCGTCATCTAACATAAAATCTCCATAAAGTATGTAAAAATGAATAGAAAACTTCTTAATAATAAAAAAACTCCATAAAACCAAAAGGCCCTTTATTGTCAATGAGATGTAGCTCAATATTAGAATATGGAAATCTGGGCTGGAGAGATGGCTCAGAGGTTAAGAGCACTGACTTCTTTTCCAGAGGTCCTGAGTTCAATTCCCAGCAATCACATAGTGGCTCACAACCATCTATAATGAGATTTGGTGCCTTCTTCTGACATGCAGGCAGAACACTGTATACATAAATAAATAAATAAATGGGTTTAAAATAAATAAAAATAAATAAATGGGTTTTAAAAAAAAGAATATGGAAATCTGTGGGTGTTATGTCTAGCAGAAAGGGGGGAGGGATAGAGAGATGGAGAGAGTGAGTGAACTTGGTTGAACACTACATTGCTCCCTGATCGCAACGATGATGATTATCCATCCAACCCACACTGATTAAAAAAAGAAAAGCGGGGCCTGGAGAGATGGCTCAGCGGTTAAGAGCACCGACTGCTCTTCCAGAGGTCCTGAGTTCAATTCCCAGCACCCACATGGTGGCTCACAACCATCTGTAATGAGATCTGGCACCCTCTTCTGTGTACATAATAAATAAATAATAAAAAAAAAAAAGAAAAGAAAAGCAAACTGCCCCTCATAGCTGGACATGGCGCACAGTTGTGGTCGTAGCACAGACGAGGCTAAGCAGGATGATTGTGAATTCAAGATGAACTTAGGTTATACAGTAAGAACCTGTGTCCAAAAAAGTAAATAAATAATAAGTGCCACTCCTGTCATGCTTTGTTAAGAAAAAGGTTTATCTTAGTAAATAGAAAGAGCAAATCAAAGCCATAAAAATCAGGCCATGCTATGGGAGTGGGGGTCAGAGAACAGTCTACAACAGGACACAGTTCCCTTCTTCTAACTTGTGTTTGCTGGACATCAAACTCGGGTGTGAGGCTTGGCAGCAGGTACCTTTACCTGCTAAGCCATCTGGCCGGCCGGCTCTATCAGTGACAAACTTTTATGGAGCTTGTATTCTAGCTAGAACAGAGATGGAGCTGCGGTTTGTAGTGGGAAGAACCATGTTTTTTTTTTTGTTGTTGTTGTTCTTTCTTTCTTTGGGGGGGGGGCGTTTTGAAACAGGATCTCACTCTGTAGGCCAGCTTGGTCTCAAACTCAGAGAACTGCCTGCCCTGCCTCCTGAGTGCTGGGATTATAGATGTGTACCACCCACCACTGGGCAGAACCATCTCTCTTTCGTTTTTTTTGGTTTTGTTTTGTTTTTGCTTTTTCAAGACAGGGTTTCTCTGTGTAGCCCTGGCTGTCTTGGAACTGGCTTTGTAGTACAGGCTGGCCTCAAACTCACAGAGAACCATCTTCCCCTGCTTCCCGAGTGCTGGGACTTAAGGTGTGCACCATCAACCACAGCCTGGCTGGAAACATGTTTCTTATTGTCATCTTACCATGTTAAAACCGTAAGTCCTTATTACCTATTCTCGATCATATTCTCTTCTTCAAAGTTTATTATTTTTATTTATGTATGTGTGTCTGTGTGTAAGCCACACAGATGCAGGTGTGCCTACGGAGGCTAAAAGAACAAATCAGATACCCTGGAGCTGGAGGTACAGGCAGTTGTGGGCCACCTCATATGGGCCCTGAAAACTGAATTCTGGTCCCCGGAAGAGCAGCAAGCGCTCTTAACGACTGAGCCATCTTTCCAGCCCCCTATATTTTCCCTTTAATATTTCTTTGTACTACCTCTCCTTGACCCAGTACTCTGTTCAATAACGTACTACCGGGAGTTTTCAGACAATTACTGATTTGGCCAATATCCAAATCCAAATCTGAGACAGCTCTGAAGGACAGCATTGAGGGAATTATGTAAGGGGCAGATACAAATGTTTAGATGTAAGGAAAAGAATTTTACTTCCTGATGGCATTTCTTTATTTAAATGTTAAGAATGACCTCATCAGATCTTATATGATGAATAACACCACATAGTTATTTGGACACAGGTAAGCATAAGCTGCAGATAGAACGCTCTAGGAAATGACATGTATTAAGAACACGACACAAAAATAGTAGGAGTTAGAACTATAAAGAGACCTAGGCTTCTAGCTCATCCATCCACCCGTCCAGCCATCGCCCGAATCAAGCTGTTTTGGTGTTACTCTCTGCCCCTTCCTGTCCTCTCCCTTATATTTTTGGTTCGCTTGTCTCCCTAAATATGATGAATTTCACTGCTGTTCTCATCAACTGTGCGCTTGCCTAGGTTTCCCTAGCAATCCCTTTCTATTTCCTACAGGTCAGTCTTTTCAGAACTTGGGGATTTAAATCCAGTCACTGAACATACACGGTCACACAGACATCTAATCTTAGCCCTCCAGAGGCCAAGGCAGGAGGACCATGATTCAAGGCCAACCTGGGCTAGATATGGAGACCCTGTTTCAAACAAACCAAAACAGGGCTGGGGATGTGGCTCATTTAGTAGAGTGTTTGCTTACCACACACTAGCCTTGGGTTCCCTACACATCAAGAATAACCTCGCTGTGGTGGCATATGCCTGTAATCTCAATACTGTGGAGGTAGAGGTAGGTAGATCTCTGTGAGTTCACTGTCACCCTGGTCTACATAGTTCCAGGACGGACAGATAGGGATCCATAGAGAGACCCTGTCTTAAACAAACAAACAAAAATTCAAGGTCCTTCTCAACTTATAGTGAGTTTGAGGCCAGTCTGAGATACGTAAAACCTTGTCTCAAAATAAACCCAGCCACTGAGGCTGAAAGTTCCCATAAAAGAAAATCACACTGAGACATGCTTAAATTCATACCCTGGGATCATTTTAAACACAAGGAAAAACAGAAGATATCTGAATCTGTTGCTATAAACAAAATCTGTGCTCAGAGCCAGTTTGACCAGAGAAAAAGAACAACCAAGAATGGTCCTGGTTATAAAAGGTCCTGGTGTTGGGGATAGAGAGGACTCAGAGGTTGAAAGCACTTGTTGCCCTTGCACTGGACTAGATTAGGTCCCCAGCACCAAGGTGGCTGCTTACAACTACCTACAACTCCACTTCCCAGACTCCTGTGGGCACCAGACACTACACAGTGCACTTACGTACAAACAGGCAAAACTCATAAAATAAAAATATTGTTTTTTTTTTTTAAAATATCAGTGTTTTGATTGCATGTATGCTGGCACACCCTATGTGTGCCTGTTGCCCACGGAGGTCATAAGAGGGTGTTGGAGCCCTTGAACCTGGAGTTACTAATGGTTCTGAGGCTCCATGTGGATGATGGGACAGCAATGCCATCTCTCCAACTCCTAAGTAAAACTTTACAAAAACAAACAAACAAACAAACAAACAAAACCAAAACCAAAACCAAAAACAGGGTCTCTCTATGTAGTCCTGAAACTTGATATCCCAGAGTGCTGGGATTAAAGACCTATGCCACAATACCTGGCTAAATAAAATATTTAAAGAAAAAAAAAAAAGCCATGGTGTCATTCTGATGTTTTCTCTTCAAGGCAAGGCTTGAAAGGGAGTAAAGTCTAAAGACAGCAGGTGTCAATTTTGGTTTTTAGGCTTTTTGAGACAAGTTCTTACCACATATCCCTGACCGTCCTGGAACTCACTAGGTAGACCAGGCAGACCTCAAACGCATCGATTTTCCAGCCTCAGCTTTGTGGTTGTGAATGCCGGGGTTAAAGGTGTGCAACACCACACCAGGTTCTTTTGAAGTCTTGGACTGCATTCATACGCACAGTATTGTTTGCTCTGACGTGGAAAAAAATACACAGCCTGGTATGGACCATTTTAAATTCCAGATGCCAACAGCAGACATGCATTCAGTCAACTCTGAATTTTTCTTTTTTTTCTTTTGGTTTTTCGAGACAGGGTTTCTCCATGTAACAGCACTGGCTGTTCCTGGAACTATCTGTAAGACCAGGCTGGCCTCGAACTCACAGAGATCCATCTGCCTCTGCCTCCAAAATGCTGGGATTAAAGGCGTGCGCCACCGCCGCCCGGTTTAGCTCTGTATTTCTCTAAAGGTAAAATATGTCATTTACAACACGGCGGAGCGTGGTATAATGCGCTGTAAATTATATATACACATTATTTACATGTGTATACATTATGTTTATAAATATATAAATACAAAAATCTACATAGAACTCGCTCTGCACATAACCGCGGAAACTTGCAGCGCCAAAAAAACCAGTTCCGGGCCTCAGAAACCTCGCGATATTTTGATGCCCCACCCCCTCACCCCTCTGCCGGCGGGAAAAGCCCGGAAGTGACCGCACGCCCTGCGGCAGCGATCGGCCGGAAGTGACGTCGACATCCCAGAATGCTCGGCGGAAGGAGACTCGCGTACTTGCAGCTCCATGCGGAGAGGTGTGGGGGGTCTGAGCAGCGTGGTCTCGCAGCTCCGGGGCAGGCCGGCGTGTCTGCGCTCTCGCGTCTGCGGCCTAGCGGGCCTTCAGTGGCCGAGAGGTTAGGTTTTTTTGCAGTGGCCTGAGGAGCTCGCGGCTATCTGCGCAGCGCCGTAACCCGGCCTCACCATGTTGGTCCTGTTTGAAACGTCCGTTGGCTACGCCATCTTTAAGGTACGTCGCGTGGAGGTGTTGAACCGAAAGGCCTGTGCGGGACAGACACGGAGCAGGATGCGACTTAAAGGGAGGCCGAAACGACCGAGCGCATTTGAATGCCTTTTAAGTTCCCGGGCTCCGAAAGGATGTGAGAAGGCCAGGGCCCGGGGTTGGGGTGAACACGTGGCTCGGCGGACTTTCGGATGACCTGCGCTTTCGAGGGTTTGCTCCGTTTGAAAAATGGACAGGACCCGTTTTGCAAGTGATGATAAAGCGTTCACTTAATAAGAATATTATTCACGGTAGATAGAACCGAAGACCTTGTACGTGTTAAGCCAGCGTCTAGTGACAGAGCTATGTCCCCAACCTAAGATCAGTTATTAATTAATTAATTCATTCATTCATTGAGGCACGGTCCGGTTATGCAGCCTTGGCTGATCCGGAACACTATTTAGACTAATGAGATTTAAAGCCCGAGCCCAAGATCAGGGTCCTTTCGGGCATGAAACTTTTGAGTAGGGAAAGATTATTTTACCCTGTGACCATAAAGGAAGAGAAATTTATGTAGACAACATGAGTGTTCGGTCTCCAACTCAGGACAAATGGCTAAGGTGTCTATTAACATATCAGAGCTGACTGGCCGCCAGTCCACCTGTTACAGGGTCCTCCGGATTCCTACATAACCCATCCATTTTGGCTACGCCAGTCTCCTGGTGCTCTTGGTCTCCTGGCTCACTCATGGCCGCTCGGCTTCTGGTCCCTCTTCCTCCTGATGTGCTTGCTCTATCATATCTACAATAGCCCTCCTCTGCCCATACCTACCAATGTTATGTACTCCCCCCTTTTTAACTCAGTGAGGTTGCTTGAATTATTGAGATGGAGAAATTTTGAATGTTTTTTAAGATGTAGGAAGGTTGTTGGGGCACGGTGCTCATGATTTCCAGTTTGGCCAGTGTGAGGCTTGCCAGTAAGCTGTGGTGATGTAATTGTGTAAATCGGGAGTTCAAAATTTCAAACTTGAAGCTTAGGTGGGAAATCTAGATGGCTGCTATCAATTTGAGTGTTACTTGTTTAAATAGGGGAAGTTTAAGAATTAGCTTATAGCATGGAAATGATCGAACGTTGGTGTGTTCCTGCAGTGGGATGCTACTGAGATGTGTGGAACGATGAGGTAGTCTTTTGAACTCTACTAATAGAAAATTTTCATTTTCTAAGTTTATGTGTTGATATGGGGCAGAAGTGCTAGATAAAACACGTATAGTTCAGCTGGGTGGTAGTGGCCCACGCCTTTATTCCTAGCAGAGACAGGCAGATCTCTGAGTTTGAGGCCAGCCTGGTCTACAGATGGAGATCCAGGACAGGCACCAAAACTACACAGATCAACCCTGTCTCCAAAACCAAAACCAAAACAAACAAACAAAAAATCATGTATAGTTCAAATTTAGTTTTCTGTTAAACCTGAGGCTTGTGTGTGTTTGTGCAGTGCAGGAAGAACACAGGATCCGTTGGTGGGCACTGCTGGTTTGAAGGAATTTGTGTTACTGTTTTTCCATATATTTATTTATTTGGATAACTATGAATCACCATGACTTTATTACATTTCCTTTGTTGCTTTAACTTTAGTTTTAAATGTGACAATTCGGGGCTGAAGAGATGGCTTAGTGGCTGAGAGCAGTTGTTCTTGCAGAGGACCTAGCTTCCCAGAACACACATGGTGGTGGACAGCTAGCTATCTGTAACTCCAGTTCTAGGGGACCTCTTCTCACCTCTTCCAGCAGGTGGTGCACACACATGCGCAGGCAGAACAATCACATACATAAAATAAATAAATCTCAAAAGAGAATGGTGACACAATCTCTCAGATATGACCATTCTGTTAATCCAATTTTGTTTTTGTTTTTCGAGACTGGGTTTCTCTGTGTAGCTTTGCGCTTTTCCTGGATCTCGCTCTGTAGACCAGGCTGGCCTCGAACTCACAGAGATCCACCTGGCTCTGCCTCCCCAGAGCTGGGATTAAAGGTGTGCGCATTTGCAACCACTACCCGGCAAACCTTGATTTTGTAATCTTGCCTCCACCTCACCAGTGCTGAGATTACAGGCATGCTCCCTACATCTGGTTTTTATGTAGTGCTGGGAAGCTAACCAAGGGCTTGCTATAGGTAAGCACTCTTACCGAGACTGGGACTAAATTAAAATAGCAGCAGATCCTTAACTGCAAAGTTCCATAATAATTGCAATGCTTTCTTTTCATGAAAAGTGCCTATGAAATTATAACTGATTAAGTGTTCATGTGTAACTGTTCTATGAAATTGGTCTGACAATTACCAGCTGTATTGCCATAAAATTAGGCATAGCTGTATATTGTCTTGTGTCATGGTTAGCGTGCTTTTTTACAATGCCAATTAGATTAACTATTTCAGGGGTGTTTGGTAAGGGGAGTATAGATTTGAGGATTGATCTGCCTTATCCTGTTGGAATTGCTTTATTATACAGAGTATTGGTGTTGAAACAAAATTCTTTACTTTACTCTTGATTTTATGTGAATCCATATAAAGAGTCTCTAAAAGTGGGTCAGAGGATATAGCTTAGTTGATAAGAATGCTTGTCTGACACATACAAAGCATAAATAAACTGGGCATGGTGGCACATAACCTATAATCCAGCAATGGAGAGGTGAGGCAAGGGTTTATTTTTAATTATGTATATGTTTGTGTATACGTGCACATTGAATGCAGATGCCTGAGGAGGGCAGGCACCCAATACCCCTGAAGCTGGAGCCATGGGCTATTAGGATCCACCATGTGTAGATGCTGGGAACCTGACTTGAGTTCTGGAAGAGTATTACAAACTACCACTTAACATGTATCAATACAAAAGATGTTTAGGAGCTTAGGGAAAAAAAATAGAATCAACTTAAATATCAAATAGGAGCAGAAAAAATACAGGAAGGGTTCTCAAAGGCTGTAACTAGGTTTACTATTAATTTGACCAAAACTTATGCTGTGTAAGAAAACTAGCTCATTTCAATAAGAGAAGTGTATTTCTCTACCTGTATTTTACATGAATACTTGTGGAATGTACCTGATTATGTCTAAACTGCCACTTGAAGAAAACTGGTTTATTGCAGGTTTTGAATGAGAAGAAACTTCAAGAGGTTGATAGTTTATGGAAAGAATTTGAAACTCCAGAAAAAGCAAATAAAATGTAAGTAATATTGAATCTAAGGATTTAGGCGTTTACACTAAGTTGTGGGTATCTCCCCTTTGGATGTTATTTTCAGCTTTTTGGATTTTGGAACATAAGCTATCACAGCTAATTTGTATTGTAGACCACAGTGGACGGTGCCCTAAGATTAATGTTTTATGAGATATTTGAAGAGGCTAACATGAATTAAGTGTAAATTTCTTTTAAAAGCAGTAATTGTAGCTGGACAGTGGTAGCACACCCCTTTAATCCCACTATTAGGGAGGCAAAGGCAGGTGGAGCTCTGTGAATTCAAGGCCAGCCTGGTCTACAAGGCGAGTTCCAGGACAGCTCCAACTATTACACAGAGAAACCTTGTCTCAAATAGATAGATAGATAGATAGATAGATAGATAGATAGATAGATAGATAGATAGATAGATAGATAGATAGATAGATAAAATAAAAGAAGGGAGTAATTATGCAAAGCATGGAAGAGTTTTAGTTTTTTGGGCTAATAATTCAAACACTTTCTAACTTATTCTATATAGTGTATTCATCTTCCATGACTTTTATTCCTAGCTCTAAGGTATAATTAATTAACTAGGTGGTAAATCCTTAAAAAGTACAGTATTTCCTCAAGGTCTTTTGACAAAATAACCACAGTGGTAACTAAATGGGTTGGGAGAGACTGGCAGGCTTATTTTCAACGTAGATTCAGGGTTGCTATTTCATCATTTGAATCACCTTATAAAATAAGCTCGTGGGTGAATGTGGTCCTGAGATGAAACTCAGTGATCCTATTGGTACTTGTGGATTAGGAGGGGTCATATCTGTGGATGTCTGTATTGGTTATTCATCTGCTACTGCTAATAAATATACAAAAGAATAGAGAGTGATAAACCCAGAGAAAGGGCAGAATGAGTCATAGCAGCGTGGTCCTCCAGTAATAGCATTGTTAATGAATTGAGAGATGTTCATGGTACACTGAAGAAAATCAAGCTTCAGAGTAATTGGCTTAATGCGATCCAGTTTGTCTTTCTGGGTCCTTGAACATTTAGACAAGTGCTGAGAGACTCAGATGGCATGTCCTACAACAGACCAGGCAGAATAGGACCAAAACGGGTAAAATCAGTACTTTGTTCTTAATGTCTGTGTGCTTTTAAGTGTGCCTTTGATGGACTATACCAGCTTTTACCTTCCCAGGTAAGAAAACTTTGTTTCAGCTAATACTGTTTTAGGCATATAGAAGACTAATTTTTCCATTTTAAAGGGTATCTGCTTTGCTGGGTTAATTTTTATTCATTGTTGTCAATGATGTATTCCTTTTGGAACTGAGTCTAAGTGATTTAACAAATTCGTCACTACCACTGAGACAGCAATGAATTAACACATTTCTTTGTACAGAAAACATCCATCATGAATGTAAGCTATGTAGGTAATAATGGATAGCAAATCTGACAATAGTCTTTTTATTTTGAGGGGGGAAGATAGGGGGAGACAGGGCCTCACTATGTAGCTCTGGCAGTCCTGGAACGCTCTGTAGACCAGGCTGGCCTTAAACTCCACCTGCGTCTGCCTCCTGAGCACTGGGATCAAAGGCGTAGGCCCCCACGGGTGGGCAACAGGCTATTGTTCACTTGTGCTTGGTGTTTGTCTAGTTGGTGGCTGGTGGTACTGAGAATAGAACCCTGGTCTATCCTTGGATATATATACTAGGAGATGCTCTAACACAAAACTAAATAGCCAGCTTTTTTGTTTGTTTGCTTTTGAGACAGGAGCTCTTTGTAGTCCTGGCTGTCCTGGAGCTTAATGTATACACTATGCTGGCTTTGAACTCACAGAGATCTTCCTGCCTCTGCCTCCCAAGTGCTGAGATTAATGACATATGCAACCTCACCCTGCTCTTTTATTTTTATATATTTTTTAAATAAGTGGAAACAAGGATTAAGTAGTTACGTGCACTGGGCCTGACTGTGGGCCTCTTGTGGCTTTTGAGTAGCTGGAATTACAGACACATGCCACCACATCCAGCAAGTCTAGCAAGTTTGTTTGGGCAGTATGTGCTGTAGAGACCTCCAGCTTCTCTTTTCCTGGCTATGTCGCTTTTGCACAATCATTGTGTTTGTTCCAATGATGTATTTTTCTGTTTCAATTCTAGAGTAAAGCTAAAACATTTTGAGAAATTTCAGGATACAGCGGAAGCATTAGCAGGTAAAGTAAGGCTAGAGAATTTATTTTCTTTATTTTCTTTTTTTAATTTAAAAAATTTGACTTTTTTTCTTATTAAAAGGTTGTTTTCTTCAGTTGCCTGAGTTAATCTTACTCAATGTTGTCAATGATGTATCCTTATTGGAACTGAATTTAAGTGATCTAACCCATTCGTCACTACCACTGAGACAACATTGAGTTAGCTTTTTTCACTATAGGCTGGTTTCCCCCATGTGATGAGAGATGACAAGTGGTTAAGTTGATCTCCCTGTGGAAACCAATAGCCTAATGCTGAAGCACAGTTCAGTAAAAGCTGTTCTACAAGGGACCAAGGTAATGTGGTCATGTACCCAGCTCTAATACTTTCCTTAATTCAAGGGTAAAGTTAAAAATAGCCACGAAATAACAAGTGGTAAGAAACCTCTCCAGAGTATACAAAAGGCATATCAGTATTAAAAACTGAAGGAAGGTAGAGTTATTTAAAATATATATAATGTGCACATGCAAACCACCAAAGGAGCATGAGTTTATATACGGGAAAATGATTTTTGTTTTATTTTAAAGGAAGGAGTGGTTGTAGCCTTCAAAATTGGCTTCTTGATGGATGAACAGGCATGTTCTGTGTTACTAATCAGCCAATTATTTGATATAATTTGAGAACAAAGGACTATAAGAATGGTTTAAAACTAGACAAGATTTTTGTTTGTTTTGGGAGTTTCTCTGGGTAGCCCTGGCTGTCCTAGAACTCGCAGAGATCCTCCTGCCTCTGCCTCCTGAGTGCTGGGATTAAAGGAAGGGCCAAACACAAAGCAAGTTTCTTTACTATTAATCACTAATGAACTGATCAAAGTCTTTGAAAGAGTCCTGTGAGAGAGAGGCATTATCTCTGTTAGAAAAGGTAACACACAGCCGGGCGTGGTGGCGCACGCCTTTAATCCCAGCACTCGGGAAGCAGAGCCAGGCGGATCTCTGTGAGTTTGAGGCCAGCCTGGACTACCAAGTGAGTCCCAGGAAAGGCGCAAAGCTACACAGAGAAACCCTGTCTCGAAAAACCAAAAAAAAAGAAAGAAAGAAAAGAAAAGGTAACACACAGAAAGTTCATAATAAACATTTTTGGAAGTGAAAGAAATTAGAGGCAGTTGGTGGGGGAGGGGCAGGTCCACATGCCGTGACACATCTATGAAAATGAGAGACCATTTTGTGACATCACTTCTCTTCCTTCACCTTGGCGTGGATTCCAGGAATTTAGTTACAAAGGGTTGAATGGCAAGCATTTTACCTACTGAACCATCTCCCTGGTCCTATAAAGCAGTTTTGGCTTGACAGTCCCAAAGCTGAGTAACTGTAGATCATAGTATACAATTTAAATTTTGTAGCTTTGGGCTGGAGAGATGGCTCAGCGCTTAAGAGCACTGTCTGGCTGCTCTTCTAGATGTCCGGAGTTCAATTCCCAGCAACCACATGGTGGCTCACAACCATCTGTAATGAGATCTGGTGCCCTCTTCTGGCCTGCAGGCGTACATGCAAGCAGAACACTGTATACATAATAAATCTTAAAAAATTGTAGCTTTAGAATCTAGTGGGGTTTGATATTAATATTATATTATGTATTGGAAGTTCATGTATGGCATTTAATAGAGGTATCCAATACCTCTGACATTGGACAAATAGAGTTTGTTCTCTTCACATTAGGTCCTAGGGTTCAAACTCAGTTGTTCAGCTTGGTGACAAAGCCTTGGCCCACTGAGCCATCTTGCTGGCCCTGCATTTGTTTGAAGTTACTTCTTTCCCCCTGTTTTTTGTTTGTTTGTTTTCAGGATATTTTCTTTTTAAAAAAGATTTATTTATTGTATACAAATAGATGTTTTGTCTGCACGCCAGAAGAGGGCATCAGATCCCATGGGGTTATAGTTACAGAGGGGGTTGTGAGCCGCCATGTGGATGCTGGGAATCGAACTCAGCCTCTGGAGGAGCAGCCAGTGCTCTTAAGCCCTCATCTCTCTAGCCCTCCCCCCACCCCCCAAGACAGTTTCTCTGCAGCTCTGACTGTCCTGGAACTTGCTGTGTAGACCAGGCTGGCTTTTGACTCAAAAGAGATCTATCCACTTCTGCTTCCCTAGTGCTGGGATTAAAGGCATGTACCACCACACCCAGCTTTTGAAGTTACTTCTTAAAATATTTAAGACAGTTTTTTGATGAAATGATAGCTATTTGCATGTGATAACCTAGAATGGACGCTAGAAGTTAGTCTAATAGAGATTTTACTTAGAAAAAATATATTTAAGGGAAGGGTTATTGTGCTAGGTTAAAATTAAAATTGGGCGATATAGACAATTGCAAACTAGCAAGGGGCTAGAGAGAGGATGCTGTTCCAGAGAACCCAGCTCTTTCAGAGGACCCGGGTTCAGTGCCCAGCAATTGGCAGCTTATAGGTGTTTGTAATCCCAGTTGCAGGGAATCTTGATGCTGTCTTCTTGCCTCTACAGGTACCAGACATGCAAGTGGCACACAGATATATGTGTAGGCAAAATAACTACATATGTAAACAAAACTTTAGACTTATTAAAGTAGAAATAAGATGTTCAACTTTAAATTTTTAATTTTAAAGTGTGTGTTTCTGAGGATCAGACCCAAGGCTTTTCACATGCTAAGCAAATACTCCATCCCTGGCCCAAAAGACTGAAAAATTAAAGTAAGGAAAGAATACAAGGAAGAAGTCTCTTTATGAAAAGGTAGATACTAGGAACCAGTGTACACAATGTTAGAAGGTAGAATGGAATAGCCGGGTGTAATAGGACACTCCTGGATCGCAGCACTTAGAAGCCTAAAGGAGGAAGGAGCACAAGTATGAGGCCAACCAAGGCTGTAGGGTGAGCTATGAAGGTTGAATTCTAACAACTGTTTTATTTACCTCTTGAGCAGAATCTCACTGTGTTATACCCTGGCTGGCCTTAACTGATCCTCCTGCTTCTCTCTGCCTCCAAAGTGCTGGGATCAAAGGGATGCATCACCATGCCTGGCATTTATGAATGGCTTTTATAAAACAAGTACATGGGCCAGGTGGTGGTGGCTCACGCCTTTAATCCCAGCACTTGGGAGACAGAGGCAGGCGGATCTCTGAGTTTGAGGCCAGGGCTGTTAGTTACACAGAAATATCTTGTCTCGGGGCAAAAATACATTTGGGTCTTTTAAAAGGAAATATTTGCTTTAAAATTTACATCAGAAGAGCTGTCTTGGTTATATTTATTTTTCTGTTTTCCTGAAAAGCATTCACGGCTCTAATGGAGGGCAAGATCAATAAGCAGCTGAAGAAAGTTCTGAAGAAGATAGTGAAAGAAGCCCGTGAACCTCTGGCTGTGGCTGACGCTAAGCTAGGAGGGGTGATAAAGGTAAGGAGGGCCGTCGTCGTCGGTGCGCGGAGCCTGGCCTGTGGGAAGTGCCACGCGCTCTCACAATCTTCTGTGTCTTTTAGGCGGCGGCATAATAAGCTCCAGGAAAAGGTGCAGAAACAAATATTCCCTAAACGTCGTAGAAAATAGATGAGCACAAAGAGGATAAAATAAGCTCTTTACGTAGTCTGTTAACATTTTATGATAATCCTCACGTAATTTAAACATTTTCCTATTCGATAAAGATGTGTTCAGTGGAAGTTTTTAGTGGCTGGCATAAAAATACAAGAAGGAAAACATTAAGTGAAGTATGGTGGTGTGTGCCTGTAATGACTTGTATGAGATAATATAAAAATATTGGGGGGCTGGAGAAATGGCTCAGAGGTTAGGAATACTGACTATTCTTCCAGAGGTCCTGAGTTCAATTCCCAGCAACCACATGGTGGCTCACATCCATCTATAATGAGATCTGGTGCCCACTTCTGGCAGGCAGGCATACATGCAGGCAGAACACTGTATACATAATAAATAATAAATTAAAGGTGGTGCACGCCTTTAATCCCAGCACTCGGAGGCAGAGCCAGGCAGATCTTTGGGAGTTCAAGGCCAGCCTGGTCTAAAGAGAGAGATCCAGGACAGGCACCAAAACTATACAGAGAAAGCTTGTCTCAAAAAAGGAACAACAGCCGGGCGGTGGTGGCGCACGCCTTTAATCCCAGCACTCGGGAGGCAGAGCCAGGCGGATCTCTGTGAGTTCGAGGCCAGCCTGGTCTCCAAAGCGAGTTCCAGGAAAGGCGCAAAGCTACACAGAGAAACCCTGTCTCGAAAAACCAAAAAAAAAAAAAAAAAAAAAAGGAACAACAACAAAACAAAACAAATCTTCAAAAAATGTATAAAACAATATATGTATGAGTCGGTCTTTATCAAGGAGTACCAAATATATGTGGACAGGTAAAGGTACAGGAAAATGTTAAGATTTTAAATAGAGTTTTTTGTTTTTTTGGGGGCGGGCATTTGCTTCCAAAGTTGAATTGTGTAATATAAAATCCAGAGTCAATAAAATACTTCTTATATGTCTTCATACTACACATTAATACCCTGTGTATTTGAGGGACACACTTATCCCTAGAGAAAAGACCTGAAGATTGAAACTTTTTACCTCTACTTTTGATTAAAATGTTGTGTGTATATATAAATACTTGGATAATTTAAAGTTAAGAAAGAGGCTGGAGAGATGACTCAGTCCAGTTGTGAAGAACACTTAGTGGACCCAGCTTCAGATCCCATCACCCACATCAGCAGCTCACAACCATCCATAGGTTCAGTTCCAGGCATCTGACACCAACGGCCTCTGAAGGCACCTGCACTTTACTGGGGCACAGAAACTCAAGTAGGTACATACACATAGATTTTTTGAAATCTTAAAATTCAAATAAAAAAGCAATGGTTCACTCAGTTCAACAAACAAAAATTCCTATCAGATTTATTAAGTGTTAGAGCTTGGAAACCATAGCCTAGTTAGAAGGGTAATTGGTGTTTTGTTCTTGTGGTTATTGTTTCTTTTTTTCTTTTTTCTTTTTTTTTTTTTTTTTAAAGATTTATTTATTTATTATGTATACAGTGTTCTGCCTACATGTATGTTTGCAGACCAGAAGAGAGCACCAGATCTCATTATGGATGGTTGTGAGCCATCATGTGGTTGCTGGGAATTGAACTCAGGACCTCTGGAAGAACAGCCAGTGCTCTTAACCGCTGAGCCATCTCTCCAGCCCTGGTTATTGTTTCTTAATGTGCCTGGAAGTTTTTCACATTTTGTTTCCATCAATTGTTTTTTCTATTTTTTTGGTAGAGTCAGGGTTTCTCTATATCGCCCTGGCTGCCCTGAAACTTGCTCTATAGGCCAGGCTGGCCTTGAACTCAGAGATCCGCCTGCCTCTGCCTCCCAGAGTGCTGGATTAAAGAAGTGCCAACCACCTCCCAGCCCTTCAACTTCTTTGTTGTTTTTCTCCCCCTTTTAAAAATTAGGTATCTTTACTTATTTTTATTGTGTGAATATTTTGCTTGTGTATGTCTGTTTGCCATGTATGTGCCTGGTCCCTGTTGAGGTCAGAAGAGAGCATCAGATCCTCTGGGACAGGAATTTCAGGCAACCGAGCCACTGTGTGGATGTGGGGACGAACTCAGGTCCTCTCCCAGAGCAGCCAGTGCTCTTGTCTACTGAGCCATCTCTCCAGCCCCTATAAATACGGTTTGAAAAGGTGATGTTATTTCAGAATCCAGTGTGGTACCTCGTGTTTGTCCTTCCAGGAGGCTGAGGCAGGATTGTTACTCTGAGTTTCAGGTCAACCGGGTTTACAATAGTGAGTTCTTCTTATAAGTCACTGTCCGAAAACCCACAAATATGGATTTTCAGGAAAACTTTGTTTCATCTAATGTAAATGTCCTTATAGGAAAAACTGAATCTCAGCTGTATCCATAGTCCTGTTGTTAATGAGCTTATGAGAGGGATTCGATCACAAATGGATGGTTTGATTCCTGGGGTAGAACCACGTGAGATGGCGGCCATGTGTCTGGGATTGGCCCACAGGTAAGACTTACATACATACATGTGAGTACTATACTTAAAATGTTACAAGTATTCATTTACTAGGAGGAAGATGCTACTGTTGCTCCCCTTCAATGTAGTTGATGATAGGAACCCATACAACCTGGCTTTTTTTTTTAAAGATTTATTTTTTATATATACAGTGTTCTGCCTACATGTATGCCTGCTGCCAGAAGAGGGCACCAGATCTCATTATAAGTGGATGTGAGCCACCATGTGGGTGCTGGGAATGGTACTCAGGACATTTGGAAGACCAGCCAATGCTCTTAACCTCTGATCCATCTCTCCAGCCCCAGAATCTGACTTTCATTGCCTGTGTTCTTTTTGTTTTTTTGAGACAGGGTTTCTCTATGTAGCCCAGGCTGTCCTGGAGATCTCAGATAGCCTTTGCCTCCCTAGTGATGGGATTAAAAGTATGTGCCACCAAATCCAGCTGTTGCCTGTATTCTTTTTTTGGTTTTTTGAGACAGGGTTTCTCTGTGTAGTTTTGGTGCCTGTCCTGGATCTCACTCTGTAGACCAGACTTGCCTGAAACTCACAGATCCACCTGGCTCTGCCTCCCAAGTGCTGGGATTAAAGGCGTGCGCCACCACCGCCCGGCTTATTGCCTGTATTCTTAAAACCTCATCATAGAATTTCTTCTCCCCGTTAGTGTTGGATTATTTATTTCATGTCTTTTCTGTGCTGTGGTCATTTTATTTATTTGTTGTGTGCGTATATACGTGGTGTGTGTCTAAAGGCCAGAAGAGGTTGTCCTCTATCATTTCCCCTATTTTGAGGCAGAGGCTCTCTTGGAACCTGGGACATGGGTTTCCTGGGCTCGGCTAGAAATCAATAAACCCCATCAATCCTTCTGTCTTGGAGCTGGGGTTTTAGGCATGGATTGCTGACTTTGTATATGGATGCTGGAATCTGACCTCCACTGGTCATGATTGTATAGTAAGTACACTAACCTGCTGAGCCATGGCTCCTTTATTAGCCATAGATCCTTAGCATATGCAGTGTTGCTGTGCTGTAATCATTGAAAGTAGTATTTCAGCAGTTGCATGTGATGGCACAGGCCTTTAGTACTGGCACTCTCAAAGCACAGGCAGGTGGATCTGTGAGTTCCAGGACAGCCTGGTCTATAGAAGAAGCTCCAGACAGGAAGGGAACACAGAGAAATTCTGTTTTGGGGGAAATGGGAAAAGGTTGTGAGTATGTATAACTTAAAAATAGTTGAATACTTTCAAAAAACAAATAACACTTCTCTGTGATAAAAGTCAGAGATAATAAAAATGTCCTGCAATGTAAAGGAAACCCCTACAGTATGCAGTTGTAAGGCTACAAATGTCATTAGTGCCGAGATTTGATACCTTCACATGTACAGTTCCCTATAATTTTCTGTTTTTAGATGTTATACAAATGCTGTTACTTTTTTTTCCTTTGAAGTGCTTTGAAGCTCTACTGTATAACAACAGCAAAACTCTACAAGAGCAATGTAAATTGCTCTAGCCTATTAATTTACCCTACTCAGCATAACAAATTCATTGGAAATACAGGCTGCAGCGGTACAGATGTATTCATTTTCAGCTAAGTAGCAAGTTCAAGGCTAGCTCAGTTGCTAAGGTATTTATCGCACAATCATTGAGTTCACGCCCTCTAGAATGCCCATAAAAACCCTGGGCTTGGCAGCACTTAAATCCCAGGGGCAAGGATAGACAGGTAGGTAGGACCCTGGAGCTCACTTGCTAGCCAGCCCAACTACTCTGCAAGTTCCAATCCAGTGAGAGACCCTGCCTCAAAAACAAGGTGGGCCTCCAGCTGCACGGGAAATAGGTACCCATTCACATGAACACACAAATCAGGGGAAGGTGGAAATGGGATATGTTAATAAAAGTGCCCTTTAAAATGCTCTCTGACTAGTTTTCTTTTCATCTCCCCAGCCTGTCTCGATACAGATTGAAATTCAGTGCTGATAAAGTAGACACGATGATTGTTCAGGCAATTTGTAAGTACATGGCAGAGTCCGATCTGTGTAGTTTTGGGTTTCCCAGCGGTTGTTACTGTTTTATCTGTTGAAAGAAAGGAACTAGAACTTCAGTGAGTAGGTGATTGGGAAAGCAGAGTAGGAAAAGGAATCACATTGTTAATCCTATCTACGGATTGATTTCATTTCCATCAATGCTGAAACTGCAAGAAAGATCTGGGTAATTAAGTGTTCTGTTGTCATTTTTAGATTCTCATGAGTTGAACAATTTTAAGAAACATGCAAGTAATAAAAATTGCTTTGACCAACAATTCTATTACTAACTGTATCAAGAGTTAAAATCATGGACTTGGTCCTTTGTGTTACCACACCTCTGTTCATAGCAGTATTACTTACACTAGCTGAGAAGGAAAATTTTTATCATTCAATGAATAAACAAAATGTAGATAAAGAAACACAGACACACGTAAGATTCCATTTGGCCTTTAAAAGAAATAATGTAATACATGCCACAATGAAGAAAACTTTGCCTGTGTGAGAAGCCAAACAGTGTGGAAAGGTAGCTCTTGAAAAGGACCAGGATTTAATTTCCAGAACCCACATAGTGGCTCACAACCATCCAGTTCCAGAGGGATCCTACTTAATGCCTCCTTGAGGGGAATCGGGCACAGACACAAAAAGAGATGCCTAGAAAGTATTGTTCTCTCCTTCCACCATGTGAATCTTGAGGTTTGAACTCTGGTGTCTGCTTGGCAGGAAGTGACTTCATTCACTGGGCCATTACAGATACTTGTTTGTTTGGAAATGGAGTCTCATTATATAGTTCTAGCTGGCCTGGAACTTACTGTGTAAACAAGACTGGCCTTGAACTCCAACATCCACCTGCCTCTGCCTCTGCCTCTAGAATGCTGGTATTAGAGGTGGGTGTCTGCACACTTGGCTCCAGAGGTTGCTTTTCAGGGGGTATAAGATTTTCAGGGTAATGGAACTGTTCTGAAAACAGATGATGTTAATGGTTGTATGGCCTGAATGTACGTAATGCCACTAAATGCTTGAAAATGCTTTGAGACAATTGGTTGTGTGTGTTAACTACCATCAGTCCCTCATTTGTTGTTTTTCGTTCATTTTGCAGCCTTATTAGATGACTTGGATAAAGAACTAAACAACTACATTATGCGGTGTAGGGAATGGTATGGCTGGCACTTCCCTGAGTTAGGGAAAATTATTTCAGATAATTTGACATACTGCAAGTGTTTACAGAAAGTTGGTGAGTTAATTTTTACCCTTAATAAATTATTCAAAATAAGTGACTATAACTCGTAATAATAATAAATTAATATAACTCAGTAGAATTGTAATACATACTTAAGATTACTAAAGTTTTAAAATTTCAAATGAAGCTATTTCATTTCTGTTATTTTAAAACTGAGCTTTAACTTTGATTTTTTTTTTAAAGTGGCTTCTTTGAAATATCTAACTTAACAAATAACAGATAAAGTCACTCTCTTCAAATGATCCCAACTGACCCAAATAACAAAGATTATTGTATGTCAGCCAGTATCCATAAATGTTTTCAACTTTTATGGTAGATTGGAAGATTACAGCTATGCATTAATTTAGGATGTAAAAATTGATTACATGAGGAATCCAAGGCAAATGAGGTTAATTGGTACAGTTCTCTTAGAAGCAGATTAAAAAAATAGGATGAGTACACAGGAGGATAGCAATGTTAAGTCTTTTTTTTGTTTGTTTTCTTTTGGAGACAGGGTTTCTCCGTGTAGCCCTGGAAGTCCTGGAACTCACTCTGTAGCCCAGGCTGGCCTGGAACTCACAGAGATCCGCCTGCCTCTGCCTCCTGAGTGCTGGGATTATTAAAGGCGTGCGCCACCACCACTTCGTGCAGTGTTAAGTCTTAAGTGACCTCAAGGTGTACTGTTAACTCTGGCTTCGAAGTGCAGCAAAAGTTCGGGTCTCTTACACTGTAGTTTCAGCCCGATGGTGATGGTGACGCACACACTAGGGAGGCAGAGGCCAGCAAGATGCTTTGTTTTATTTTATTTTATTTATTTATTTTTATTTATTTATTTATTTTTTTTTTGGTTTTTCGAGACAGGGTTTCTCTGTGTAGCTTTGCGCCTTTCTTGGAACTCACTTGGTAGCCCAGGCTGGCCTCGAACTCACGGAGATTCGCCGGCCTCTGCCTCCCGAGTGCTGGGATTAAAGGCGTGCCCGGCAACTTTGTTTTATTTTTTTCCAAAGTAATTTTTGGAGATTGTGGGGTGGGGGGATTGAGACAAAGTTTCTCTGTGTGACAGCCCTGGCTTGCTTGTAACTAGCTTTGTAGACCAGGCTATCCCTGAACTCACAGAGATCCACCTTCCTCTGCCTCCCAAGTGCTGGAGTTAAAGGCGTGTGCCACTATTGCCAAGCTGAAAATTTATTTCTAAATCACTTTTACGTAAGAAAAGCCTAGATCAGACTTGTTTACATTCTGGGTTTTCTCCCCCGCCCCCCCCCCCTTTTTTTTTTTGCTATTTTTATAATATCCCAAGAACGATTCTGCTTCATCTTCTACACATTCCATAGGTGACAGGAAGAACTATGCGTCTGCCAATCTTTCTGAATTGCTGTCAGAGGAGGTAGAGGCAGAAGTGAAAGCAGCTGCAGAGATATCCATGGGAACAGAGGTTTCTGAAGAAGATATTTGCAACATTCTACATCTGTGTACCCAGGTACATTATACCCACAGAGGCTGTAGTTGCAGTCTTTCGAGGTCTGTAATGATTTGCTGATGGCAATGATGATTTTGCATTTATTGTTCATCTGACAGTATATGAAGGTGTTTAGTCACTACCTCATCTGATGCCATCTTTTTGTGTGTGCTTAGGTGTGGGCGATTAAATAGATGATAAAGTAATTTATATTATGGGCATTAGTTTTAGTTTGTTTGGGTTTTGGTTTTATGAGACAAGGCCTCTACGTTGCCCTGTCTGGCCTCATACTCACTATGTGGACCAGGCTGAATTGAAGGAATGAACCACCACACTTGGCCCAAGTGATTTAACCCAGTTCTTAATTTAAGGCTACAAAGATGTACCAATTAGATTACTTAATTTTTTTTGTTTGTTTGTTTGTAATTCTTCCTCAGACTCCTGAGTGCTGGGATTATAAGCATGTGCTTGCATGCCTAGCTTTATTTTTAGTTTTAGAGGTGGCTATTTCCAAGCTCCCTATGATTGGCCTCAAACACCATGCTCATGTAATCTTGCCCCCGCCATTCTAGTAGTGAGACCTGTCAGTGAGTTACCTGTCCATCTCTCTTTGTATCCATTGAAGTCTAATATTTTCAAGGTTAATTATATATTCTTTACTCATAATATAATTCCTCATTTTAGGTGATTGAAATTTCTGAATATAGAACCCAGCTATATGAATATCTGCAAAATCGAATGATGGCCATCGCCCCTAATGTTACAGTCATGGTTGGGGAGTTAGTTGGAGCACGGCTCATTGCTCATGCAGGTGACAGTTTTAATGTGATTTGTAAAAATGAGTATAACACCTAGTACAGACTAAGGACCACAGTTCAATGATGATTACTGTTGCTTTGCCTGATTTTCTGAATAATGAGGGCATCTTCAGTCACTACCTCTTCTGAGACACTGTGGTTCTTGGTTAGAAGGCTAAAATTAGTTCACGGTCATATTTTAGCTGTAAGTTCAGTCAGTCCTCAGCATCAAGAAAATTCATTAGACCAAGTTTTGAATAAAGTTTTTAAATTACAGTATTAACTGAACACATTGCTATACTTCACAGAAGATCTCTTATTATTCCAGCTTAACTGGAATACTTTCAGCAGTATCAGACAAATAAAATACTCCAAGTACCCTTTGCTGTAAGGTCAGAATATTGTGGGCTCTTTTCGATTGCTTCGCCCTGTTTCAGTCGGTAGGTAACCTTAACAGCAGTAAGAGATAGAGACTAGCTGAAATTCTAATGTTTGAGTTTGTACCATTAGTGGTTTATGTATTTCCAACACTGTTAAATGCAGCAAATCCATCAGTGTCTTAGCATACATCTAGATATGTTTCCCTTTTTTTTTTTTTTTAAGATTTATTTATTTATTATGTATGCAGCGCTCTGCTTGCATGAATCCCTGCAGGCCAGAAGAGGGCACCGGATCTCATTACAGATGGTTGTGAGCCACCATGTGGTTGCTGGGAATTGAACTCAGGACCTCTGGAAGAGCAGCCAGTGCTCTTAACCGCTGAGCCATCTCTCCAGCCCATGTTTCCCTTTTTTAAAAAAAATTATGTGCATTGGTGTAAAGGTACCAGATCCCCTAGAACTGGAGTTACAGACAGTGGTAAGCTGTCCTGTGGGGGCTGGGTTTGAACCCGGGTATTCTGGAGGAGCAGCCAATGCTCCTAACCACTGGGCAATTCCTCCAGCCCTATAAATGTTTCTTTTTTGGTTTTTTAAGACAGGGTTTCTCTGCAGTTTTGGTACCTGTCCTGGATCTTGCTCTGTAGACCAGGCTGGCTTGAACTCACAGAGAACTGCCTGGCTCTTCCTCCCGAGTGCTGGGATTAAAGGCGTGTGCCACCACCGCATGGCTCTATAAATGTTTCTTAATTCTCTTCTACCTCAGGGGTAAAATAAACAATGGCTCTATACCATTGATATCACTCATGTGAGCATGCTAAGGAATGTAGAATTTCAGTTCTCCAGTTCATAGATCTCCTTGCACTAGGAAAAATAGGAAGCATTCAGGGTTTTCAGGGAATTATGTACACTAGTATAGAATCTTTCATATACCTAAAATTACATTTTTTAACTTTTTCTTTTTTTGTAGGGTCTCTGTTAAATTTGGCCAAGCATGCAGCTTCTACAGTTCAGATTCTTGGCGCAGAAAAAGCACTTTTCAGGGCCCTCAAATCTAGACGAGACACTCCTAAATATGGGCTCATTTATCATGCTTCTCTCGTGGGCCAGTCAAGTCCCAAACACAAAGGAAAGGCAAGTGCAGTTTTTCCACTTCTTTTTTTGTTTTGAAGATACATTTTTGTGTGTGTGTGTGTGTGCGCGCGCGCGCGCATGCTAGAGGGCATTAGATCCCTGAGTTCTTGGTGGTTGTGAGCTGACATGTCTATGTTGAATTGTACCCAGGTTCTTAGTAAGATTGGCAAATGCTGTTAGTATCTGAGCCATCTCCAGGTGTGGTGGTGCATGGCTTTAATCCCAGCACTTGGGATCTCTGTGAGTTCGAGGCCAGCCTGGTCTACAGAATGAGTTCCAGGAAAGGCTCCAAAGCTAAGCAGAGAAACCCTGTCTCAAAAAAACTAATTATATATATATATATATGCCATCTTTCTAGCCCTTGAGCTTTATTTTTTTCCCCCTCATTTTTTTTCTACTCTAATTACAGTGTTTATTAAAACTTCAGTTTCGGGGCTGGAGAGATGGCTCAGAGGTTAAGAGCACTGGCTGCTCTTCCAGAGGTCCTGAGTTCAATTCCCAGCATCCACATGGTGGCTCACAACCATCTGTAATGAGATCTGGTGCCCTCTTCTGGCAGGCAGGGGTACATGCAGACAGAACACCGTATACATAATACATAAATAAATAAATAAATCTTTAAAAAAGAAAAAAAAACTTCAGTTTCTTTCAATTTACTATAATATTTAAGTAAAAAGCATTTTTATATATTAAATGGTACTAAATTGTAATCTGTCAAGAAAACCAGTATGTATTAGATATAGCATATTTAGTGTGCTGAACATTTTCTAAAAATCATGTTTGGATGTTTGTTTTACACATTTCTGTGTTTCTGTAGATAGCTAACTGAATAGGGCTAAACTGAAATTTTGTGAAATTCAGAGCACACTAATAGAAATAAAGGAGTAAGTAGACACTATAAATTGGTTTGAGGAAGGATCCACAAACACTTAAACATTGGTTAAACTTATCCTTTCTCTCCCTCTGTCTGAGGTTGAGTTTAAAAGCCTATATAATGCTGGTACCAGCTATACCACCAAGCTACACCGCCAGCCCTGAAGAGAATCTCTTTTCAGTATGCGTGTGGTGCATGTGTGTGCGCTTACAGAGGTCAGAGGACAACTTGCAGAAATCAGTTCTCGTTCCATCCTGTGGGTCATGGGGATTGAATTCAGATCATCGGACTTGTTGTTGTGTGGAAGCAAGAAAAGGGTAGAGAGACTGGACTAGGACTTTTCTAGTCCAGAATAAATGGTCCTGTGGTGATTTAGTATAATTTTCTCATGAGTAAACGATGGGGAGGGTCCATATCTCCTTGGAAAGGAGCACTGCTGCCTCTGAGTTCGTATTTTCTTAATAGATTTCTCGAATGTTGGCAGCCAAAACGGTTTTGGCTATCCGATATGATGCTTTTGGTGAAGATTCCAGTTCTGCAATGGGAGTTGAGAACAGAGCCAAATTAGAGGCCAGATTGAGAATTTTGGAGGACCGAGGGGTAAGAAAGAACCACACCCTGTCTGGCAGATGTTAACCTGTCAAAAGTTAATGAATTATAGTTTCATGAACACAAAATCACCTGTTAACATGGCTTTTTTTATATTTCTTAATATCCTCACTAGTATATTGTAGGTAGAGTTTTCCTGCCTGGCCCACAGTCAGGACAAATCTCTCTCACCTGCCAGTCCCACAGCCTTTCAAACCCAACCAAGTAAACACAGAGACTTGTATTGGTTTCAAACTGTATGGCCATGGCAGGCTTCTTGCTAACTGTTCTTTCAGCTTAAATTAATCCATTTTTATAAATCTATACCTTGCCACGTGGCTCGTGGCTTACCGGCATCTTCACATGCTGTTTCTCATCGTGGCGGCTGGCAGTGTCTCTCTGACTCAGCCTTCCACTTCCCAGCTTTATTCTCCTCCTTGTCCCGCCTACACTTCCTGCCTAGCCAATGGCCAATCAGTGTTTTAATTATTGACTAATCAGCAACACATTTGACATACAGAACATCCCACAGCAGTATATTTTCTGCTAATTATCTTTGCATTAGCCATGAACATTTGTGTTAAACAGTGCTTTCTGTTGAGATATGTTTACTCAAATTAGCCAAGAAAATGTATGCTGTCCAATAAAGGATGTGTTGTAGATTTTGACTTAGTAATTTTCATTTTTCTTCTTAGATAAGAAAAATAAGTGGAACAGGAAAGGCCTTAGCAAAAGCAGAAAAGTATGAACACAAAAGGTAAAGTAACATTGTAGAGTTTTAAAATTGTAAACTCCGTGTAGAATAACACTTTTGAAAAAGGGACTGGAGGGATGGATCAGCAATGAAGTGTTAAGGTCATCTTGCAGAGGACCAAAGTTTCGTTCCCAGTACCCACTTGGTGGCTCACAATCAGGCCCACTTGTACACACATACCTGAGGCAAAACATTCATGCACAACAGGAATCATTTTTACAACTGACGGGGCTTGAGCAATGGCTTAGTAGTTCAGAGCACTGACTGCTCTTGCAGAGGACCTGGGTTTGATTCTAAGCACCCACGTGGCAGCTCTCAACTGTCAGAACATGCACACATGAAAACAATGAGTCTTTTTACACTGGCAACTAAAAATCGCATTTATTTAGTGTGTCAGTATTTTGAGAAATGTGTGCAGTTGTAGAATCACTAAGTCAAGTTGACAGGCTCGATCTTTTTTGTCTTTGTTGGTAATACTAAAATCTTGAGCAGTTTTCAGGAACATGTTAATTACAGTCATCACCATGCTGTCTATATACATCTTTTATATACATCTATAATTTTTTCTTGACGTTTAGTTTTTCATACTCCACTTCTAGTTTTTTTGTTTGTTTGTTTTAATATATTTGTGTGTGTTTGGGTGTGTATGTATACAGGCAAGCCACGGCACTCATGTAGAGGTCAGAGGACAACTTTCAGGAGTTTGTACTCCTTCCATGTGGGATCCAGGGATTGAAACGAGGTGGTCGGGCTTGGTATCGAACGCTTTTACGAATAAAGCCCTCTTGCTGGTCCTTGATAAACATGTATTTAATTCAGTCACTTCACTTACTCTGTAGTGTGCCATTCATTTAAAAGCTTAGAGTTATCTACAGTGAAACTTTTTCTAAAACCCCAGGCAGGCCTAAAAATACAGTCCATAGTCATAAAGAAGTATTTGAGGCCTTACTTGGATGTAGAGGGATGCTTTGTTTATCATTTGAGGCTAAGTGGGATGTTTGTAAGTTACAGGGATTGAAATGGAGTTGTGCATCTTTTATGATAAACTGGTACTGTGTATCAAGGTCCTCTAGTAAACCACTTGGGAAATGAATGCAGCGTGGCTAAAAATAATGTTCATCTTTGCCTATATTGCAAGTTGGAGGCCAATCTAAGCTACACAGGACCCTGTCTTTTAAAAAGCAAAAAAAAAAAAAAAAATTATGAGGTCTTGCTATCTTAGCTGGCCTGGAATTCAAAATTATTATTCTTCCTTAGTATCCCAGTTTTGTGGTTATAAGCATATGCTATGATCTCTAGGTATGTGTGAATTTTAATGAAATAGGTTATAAGTAGATAGGGTAATTAATATTTAACAGCATTCATTATAAACATGTAGAGCGGCTCTTTGTTGTTTTTTTTTTTTGTTTGTTTGTTTGTTTTTTTTTTTTTTTTTGGTTTTTCGAGACAGGATTTTGCTGTGTAGTTTTGGTGCCTGTCCTGGATCTTCGCTCTGTTGCCCAGGCTGGCCTCGAACTCACAGAGATCTGGCTGCCTCTTTGCTTTTAAATAGTAAATATTTATAGCTTATAAAGTTTAACAGCCATTCACCGACAGCAATTCAATGGACAGAACATTACTCACTTTGTTTTAGGTTCCTGTACTTGGATGCACTGAAAACATGAATTGACTTTGTAGGGGATCAGTGTGTTATTATACCACTTACGGGCTTGTGGTGAAGGTTTGTCTGAAATGGGATTGTATATAACATCTTGTGTTGTGTTGTTACCCAGTGATCTAAAAATTTAATAAGTACAGTTAATTGGAAAGTGATTTCACTTGATCATTTTCCTTTTGATGCTCTTGTTTTTCTATATAGTAGTAAGTGCATAGATTAATAAATCAGAATTTATTTGCCTCACTTCTTGAGTGTGATTGACCTAACCTAAACTACCCTAAACCCACTTAAAATGAAACAGCATTGTGTCCTTTGTATTACCCAACAGTATTTGCTTTTTTCTTGAATTATTTCAATTACAGGTATTTGTAAAGATTTTCCACAATTTATTTGGTTTTTTCAGTGAAGTGAAGACATATGATCCCTCTGGTGACTCCACACTTCCAACTTGTTCTAAAAAACGCAAAATAGAAGAGGTAGATAAAGAGGATGAAATTACTGAAAAGAAAGCAAAAAAAGCCAAGATTAAAATTAAAGGTTAGTTTGAATTTTAAAAAAAACCACTCCATTTTTACTTACTTTGTTGGGGATGGGGGAGCATGGCACAGTACACATGTGGAAGTCAGAGGACACTTTGTGTGACTTAGGTCCATAGACTTCCCCACAAATGCCTTTACCCAATGAACCATCTTGTTGGCCCTAGTTGGAATTTCAAATTTAATTCCTTCAATAATACACTCAAATATGTTGATCTTTTTAAACTATAGACTTCTTAAGTGTTGGAAATATGCCTATTATTGCATTCAATGAAAACAGATGCCGTTGTTTTTTGGGAAGTTAGCATGTTATTAAATTAGATTTTAGTGTCTTTACATGTGAGCTATTTGTACAGTTAGGTGGCTTCTAAATTGATTACCTGAGTTTCAGTCACATGATAAAGAGATGTGGATTAGTGTAGCCTGCTGTTCACTGTCAGAGTATCTAAGAGAAACCAGTCAAGTTGATAATAAGCAAAGGCCCCATATATACCTGATACTGAGTGTCTGCTAGTATGGGCAGAGTAAAAGAGATCCAACGATTAGTTTCTAAATACCTTTGTTGTCAGAATATATTATTAATAGATGTAGAGAATTGGTAGAGAAACTATAATAGGTTTATTAATTTGTGTTTCTGTTTTCCTAATTGAAAGATTTAAAACACAAAACTAAAGTCTTAATTCTAGCATTTGAAAGCATGTTCCAGAGTAGTTAACAATTTCAGCTGTATATTGGTCCATTGGCTCTCATGTACCTGCCAGTCATCTACCCAAATACATACTTCATATGTAATCTTGCATACTCTTGGCTTGGTACCACTTTCCTCCATCTTTGACCCTTGTGTTGAAATGTCAATGTGTAACTCCCCTTCTGATAGCTTCCTAACTGCTTTATTTTTATCCTTACATTTATTATTTACTTCATGTCTCACCCATCTCTCATGAATATTCATAATTATGGCTAGGGTCCCTGTGGGTGTATACATGTCTCTAGAGATTAGAGGTGAATATCCGGTGTCTTCTGCCTTAGTTTTGTGATTGTTTTTGAGACCTGATCTCACTGTCTAGATTGATTGACCAAATTCCAGGTCTACTTGTCCCCAGCTGTGGGGTGGCAGGCCTGCAACACCGTGCCTGACCTTGCGTGGGCGCTGGGGAGCAGAGCCAAGCTCAGGTCCTTCTGCCTGAGCAGTGAGTGGGCACTTCACCTACTGAGCCATTCCTCTACCTTCAGGGTCAGTGTTCAGTCCAGGCAGACATTGTTGAGTAGGTGGAGCTGCAGAAGCTCACCTCCTGACCTGTTGTAATAGAATTGACTCTTCCAGATCATCAGGCTGCATAATTGATTGACCTTCACTTTAATGTTGACTTCTGCTGTGTAATAGCTCATCACTAAAAATTACTTCTCTGAGCTTGGAATAACAGTATTAGACAAGGAGGAGAATCCTACTCGACGCTTCCAATTACAAAATGATCATAGCAATAAATACTGGAGAATTGCCTATAATGACAGAAAAATATTCTAGGGTTTTGGGGAAGTAAGCCTAATACAATTCTAATTCTTCCTAAACCAGCTGAAGTAGAGGAGGAGGAGGTGGAGGAAGCAGAGGTGGAAGAAGAACAGGAACAGGTAGTCGAAGAGGAGCCATCAGTAAAGAAGAAAAAGAAGAAGGATAAAAAGAAACACATTAAGGAAGAGCCGCTTTCTGACGAAGAGCCATGCACCAGCACAGCAATTCCTGTATGTGATTTTGGTTGTTGCTTTTTTTTTTTTTTAATCTATCTTTTGAGTTTATTACAGGGCATTTTAAACAAACCTCAAGCATAGATGTTAATAATAGGTATTGTATTCTTTCTTGGTCAGAAATAACCGGGTGTTTGATAAGAAAAATGTAATAGAAAAGCAAAACTGCCTGATCGTATTTTTGTTATAGAGGCATTTTCTCTTTTAGTTTTTACCATGAAAAGAATTTACTATAGGGAGGAAGGAATATGGTTGGTTCTGTTTGTTTGCTGTACTAAGGATTGAACTGAAGGTGTGACTGACTACTCCACCACACCCCAAGCTCACCATTCGTTGAAACTTGCTTTCCTGGAATTGCAGTTTTAAATTTTTGTACAAAATTTCTTTTCTGATTTTATACTTTATAAGGAAAGATTAATACATTGCCACTATTTCAAAAGCATTCTTGTTGGTTATTTTCAGAGTCCAGAGAAAAAGAAGAAAAAGAAAAAAAAGAAAGAAGCTGAGGATTAATGGAAAGAATCTATCATTCTGTCACCTGGATACATCATGCTTAAGATTATGAGCATATCAGATGCTCTTTAAAATAATCAAGGAAGGTTGAGTCAATCCAACAGTGATTATCTGTGGCGTCTCAAACCTTTTTTGTGTCTTTGACATCAGCTGTTAACTAACTTTAGTCTTTGATACACAAATAAAAATATTTTCTTTGTATTATAAGGTAGTTCTGTGATCTCTTTATATTTTAGGTAGAGAATCTTTAGCCTTTTCTATGTTGGACTTAGCATTAATTAGATTTTGATTGTTATTGTTGAAAAGTGAATTGTCAATGATTGAAAATTAGAAATTCCAAAATTGGATATAGCTTTTTTTTTTTTTTTTTTTTCTTCTTCTTCGAGACAGGGTTTCTCTGTGTAGCTTTGCGCCTTTCCTGGAACTCACTCGGTAGCCCAGGCTGGCCTTGAACTCACAGAGATCCGCCTGGCTCTGCCTCTCGAGTGCTGGGATGAAAGGCGTGCGCCACCACTGCCCGGCCGGATATAGCTTTTTTTAAGGTGGTAATTAGATGCACCCATTTAAGATTTTGTGTGTTTTTCTTGTCTTCTAGATTCTAAAACCTGCTTCAGAAAGTAAGAGAATAGTTGTATTTTATCATTCACTACTTTTGATGTATGGTTTTTGAGACAAGGTCTCATGCCTAGACTCTGTGTAGCCAAGGATGACTAAACTCCTGAGGAGTCTTTTCATCCCAAGTGCTAGGATTATAGACCTGTGTCGCAATAGGTTTAATGAGGTGCTGGGGAGCCCATCTTCAGATGGCTTCATTCATGCTTACCAAGCGGTTTACCAACTGAACTACATTCCCAGTTTCTAGTTCCCTATTCTTAAAGGGTGAAATGGAATGGTTCTTAATCTAAACTCTCATGTTTGTGCTGGGAATTGAACCCAGAATCTCACTTGTAAACTGCAGCTTTAATCGCTGGCTGAGTGTGTGTGTGTGTATCTGTATCTGTGTGTCCTGCTGGAGTTCAAGAGTCCATTGGATCCCCTGGAGCTACTTATGGTTGGTGGTTGTAAACCAGTATGTGACCCAAGATCCACTGTAAGAGCTGCTTGACTCTGCTGAGCCAGCTCTTTGAATCCTGCTGATTTTTATGCTAAAATACTTCTGTAAAGTATATTGACAAGATAATTCATAACCTCCATAAAAAAACTTCGGCTCACAGTTTCAAGGGGGTTCTGTCACTTTTATTGGCCATTGTTTTTTTTTGTTTTTGTTTTTGTTTGTTTCTTCGCAGATAGGATCTCACTATGTAGCTCTGGCTGGCCTTGAACTCATAGAGATCCACCTGCCTCTACCTCTGGAGTGCTGGGTTCTAAGTGTATGCTGCCACCACCTGCCCTGTTTTCAAGTTTAAGGATTGACATCATAACTACCTAGCACACTAAATGTTTAAATATCATATTTGAATTTGTTTCTTTGATTAGGCTTAACTGAGCTGTGTAATTTTTTAGTTTCATATTAGGTCAACTGTTGTGCCTCAGGCTAGCCTAGAGTGTTGAGGTGTGCTAGCACACCTGCCTATAAAATCTACTAGATCTGACTGTTGGCTGAGGATACGCTCAGTAGGTAGAGTATTGTCTAGTATGCATGAAGCCATAATACCACTACCAACAGGAAATTCTCCATTTACCCCTTCAAGTCTTAATGTAAATTTGTGCTTTGGAATAAACTGTATCTGCCCCTTGCTGTCCGGCTCTTCGGTTTCACAGAGTGCAGCCTTGCTTTGTTCAGTTGTCTGTCACAAGGTTCTTCCGTTGCCTTGCTTATCTAAGGCCATCTTTATTTTGAACACTCGGTTCAGGCTTATCTTCTAGCCCAGGTGTACCACACAGACACACATGGGTCGGGTCGGGTCGGGTCGGGTCGTGTTGGATGAAGGCCTCCAGTAGGGTAGCTGAGTTCTGAGTCTTGATGCTAAAGAAAAGGTATCCTGGTCTTATTTTCTTAGTCTTTCCCCTTCCTCCTGCCCTATCTTGGCATATGATATTATGTATGTAGTGAATGTATAATCCATGGAAAACTATTACATTCTAGTAAAATTTAAAAAAGCTACTTAATCTTAGCAAGTATCAGGCCAGTCTCCTATACATCAAGACACCAGAACAAATATCAGAAATGTTTTCAGAAATCGACCTTAAGGACTTAGTGTGTTGGCTTTTTTTCCATTTGGAAAAGGGAACATTATTTTGTATGTGAATTCCTGCCTGCCTTGGTACATGTGTGGAGGCTTCAAGACAACTTCTGTCACGTAGGCTCTAGGTATCAAAGACCGCCTTGGTTATCTGCTTTGTCCTGTGGCCATTTATTGTTAGAAGTCAACGTTTTATTCACGGTTGCTTTATGTTTGAGATGGGATTACACTAGCTCTGGCATCACTGGCCCTGGCTGGCATTAACTTCTGGCATTCTCATGCCTCTCTCCCAAGTATTAGGATTTTAGATTTCAGCTACCTTACCCAGCAATTGGCCAGTTTTAGTTTATATTTTATTATATTAGATTTTTTTTAATGTCTTGTATGGGTGTTTTGTCTGCTGTATGTCTATACAAGAGACCTGCTGGTACCTGTGGAGGCCAGAAAAGGTGTCAGATCCCCTGGAACTGGAGTTATAGACTCCATGTGGCTGCTGGGAATCAAGCCCTGGTCCTCTGGAAGAACTGCCAATGCTCTCCAGAAGCCCATCTCTAAGCCATCTTTACAGCCCATTTTTACCAGTTTTAAAATACATTGTTTTCAGTAGTTTCTTTGTGCAAGTGTGTGTGTGGTTTTTTCTTTAGAGTTTTTGGTAATTTTCTTGAAACCATTTCTTAGAACAAATGTCGAATTAAAATTCTCGGTTTTGGCCGGGCGGTGGTGGCGCACGCCTTTAATCCCAGCACTCGGGAGGCAGAGCCAGGCGGATCTCTGAGTTCGAGGCCAGCCTGGTCTACAGCGCGAGATCCAGGAAAGGCGCAAAGCTACACAGAGAAACCCTGTCTCGAAAAAACAAAAAACAAAAAACAAAAAAAAAAAAAAAAAAATTCTCGGTTTTGATGTTTGAGTTAGTTGTCAAGCAAAATTACAAGTAGTACATTAGAACGTGGGTTCTCAAAACCAGTAGGAGTTAGAAACATTTGAAAGCCTTGTGCTAGGGATAGAACCAAGGGTCTCACACTTACATGGTAAGCATGTGTTCTACCGTAGAACAAGCTTTGGAGGGTTTTTATAAAAGGCATGATCCCAGAAATGAAATTTAAACTAGAAATTCACTGCTGCTGGTAGTTAGGACATAGGATCTGGGCAAATAAATGAGGAAGATTGTTTCATGTTATCTTAACCCTGGATTTCTCTGGCTAGAACCTAATGTTCTGCGTTGTAAAATAAGCTCCACTACAAGATCTCAGCTGTAGTGTTGCATGGTAGGTAGGTGAGTGCTTCAGGGTTAGAAACTTCAACTATGCTCTGGACAATTCAAAATTCCAATTTTATAAGAAATCCGTGTAATTTGTGTGAGAGGCAAGTAACTTAGTTGTGTTTACTGAATTTGAGAGCATTCAGGTGCACAAAATATACCAAACGTACAATGCAAAGACCTCTAAGAGTCACCAGTGAGGTGTTATGAGCAGTTGTCCATCTCATTTTCATTGACTGTAAACTTAATGATGGCGTCAGGTGTTGATTCAACACCCTCACCATTTTTTGTTTTTTATATCCAATTATCCCCCAGTCTTTTCCTTCAGAGGATTGGGTTTTTTGAATGTTTTCAGATTTGAGGATGGGTATGAATATCATGGATTTCAGGTTAGCCATGAACTTATTGTGTAGCAGATGGTCTGGAGCTGATCTTCCTGCCTCTCCACCTCCTACATTATGAGGTTGGCATGCATCACCATTCCTGGGCTTACTGAGCTATATCCCGAGCTCCTAGTTGGTTTGTTAGCAATTACACTGTAGTGAGTGCCTTGTGGTATACTCCTGTAACCCCAGTGCTTGGGAAGCAGAGGAAGAATCATCACAAGTTTGAGGCCTGCCTGGTCATCAGAGTTCTAGGCAGCCCAGGACTACATGGTTAGAACATGCTCAAATAATGGAGAGATTTGTTGCTGTAGCATTACTGTTTGGGTAGAATGTAAAAATAGTGCCAGGGGCCTGATTTTAAAGGCACTCATCTTTAAAATCCCCGCAGTGGGGAAGCAGAAGCCAACCAGGGCTATATAATGAGACCCTGTTTCAAAAAGGGGAGGGGGAGCCAGGAGTCTTCAGTATTAATGTGCTTGCCTAGGAAGGGGGAGGGCCGCCTCAATTCTGTTGTATACCAGTATGCTTCCAAAGCATTTCAGTAATTTATACCGACAACACTTTAGTGAGAGGGTTCTTTTGGGAAGTGTCTGATAATCATTTTAAGATTGTTTTTCCTATTTTTTTTTCTTTTTCCCTTTAGTTTTTTCAAAACAGGTTTTTTTTTTTTTTTTTTTTTTTTTTGGTTTTTCGAGACAGGGTTTCTCTGTGTAGCTTTGCGCCTTTCCTGGGACTCACTTGGTAGCCCAGGCTGGCCTCGAACTCACAGAGATCCGCCTGGCTCTGCCTCCCAAGTGCTGGGATTAAAGGCGTGCGCCACCACCGCCCGGCCCAAAACAGGGTTTCTATGTGTAGAGGCTGTCCTTGAACTTGGAGAGATCTGCCTGCCTCTGCCTCCCCAGAGCTGGGATTGAAGGCGAGCACTACAAACTACAACTATCCAGCTCCATTTCTTTCTTTTTTTCAAGATTCATTTATTATGTACACAGTATTCTGTCTGCATATACGCCTGCACACCAGAAGAGGGTGCCAGATCTCATTATATACGGCTGTGAGCCACCATGTGGTTGCTGGGAATTGAACTCTCCAGCCCTCCATTTCTTATCATGTATGTATTGTTGAACATTTTCTCCACATAAAGACATTAGGAGCCCTTTTTACTTTTTTAAATCTCATTTGAAAAAAATAAGTTGGGGGCTGGAGAGATGGCTCAGCAGTTAAGAGCACTGGCTGCTCTTCCAGAGGTCCTGAGTTCAATTCCCAGCAACCAGTTGGTGGCTCACAACTATCTATAATAAGATCTGATGCCCTCTTCTGGCATGTAGGCATACACACAGACAGAGCAATCATACTTTTAAAAAAATAAACATACAAACAAATAAAATTTAAAAAGAAAGAAATAAGTTAGTGACGTGTGGTACAAGCTAGCTCTTGGGAGGTGATAACAGGAAGATGAGTAAGCCGTCCTCAGCCACATAGAAAACACCGTTTGAGTCTCATTCATGAACCTGCTTACTGCTGCTCTACAGATGAGGCTCAGGATAGCTGACCACCAAAGCTTTCCCTCAGCTTGATTGCAAAGCTGGAATTTTCTGCTCGTGGTGTTATCCAAGCCACCAAGCCTTGAGCCTCCATCAATTAATAACTTTGAAAATGATTCCCGTAGGTCTGACTTATGCTGGTACAAGAAAAGGGCTTCTAGTGCTCAGCTTTTAAGTCCTCAAAATGCAGCTTTGAAAGCTAAAAGGTAAATTTTAGCATAGCTTTGAGTGTATCTCCCGAAAGTATCCAAAGGCAAACACGCTCATAAGTACAGCCCTGGGGTGGCTGTTTCTCGGGTGTCAGGAGAACTGAGCACTTTGGCTGTGAGGGAGACAACAGGGCTGCCGTCCATCATTTTACAAACCGTGTGTCAGGCCGAGTTAGTAGATCTTACTGCTAGGGGTTCACTGCCTTCACAGCCATTGCTGCAAATGAAGATTTGGGTCACACTTTCACCCGGTGTTCCTGAAGAGAAATTTACATGTTTAATCCAATTGGGTCTATTTTCCAGCATAATCCCAAACATTCAGATCTGAATGTGCAACACAAACGTTAGAAATTACTTGGGGGCATCTGGGGACTTCTTTTCCCACTTTTGCTTAAATCTATGTTCGTTATGCATTAAAAGGGGAGTAGGGGCCTGGGAAAGTAGTCCAGCTCTTTCTTGTCTTGCAAGCATGAAGATTCTCAGAAGACAGGATCTTGTAATTTCATGACGGGAAGCCAGAACAGAATTTTTTTTTTCCCAAGACAGGGTTTCTCTGTTTAGCTTTGCGCCTTTTCCTGGAACTCCCTCTGTAGCCCAGGCTGGCCTTGAACTCACAGAAATCCGCCTGCCTCTGCCTCCCGAGTGCTGGGATTAAAGGCGTGCGCCGCCGCCGCCGCCGCCGCCGCCGCCGCCGCCGCCGCCGCCGCCACCACCACCTGGCCAAAACAGATTGTTGACCAGCCTAGTCTACTTGATGAGTTCTAGACCACCGAAAGAACCTATCTCAAGTAAGAAAGGTAGACAGCACCTGAGGAACAACATGCAAGGTTGTCCTCTGGCCAAGACATGCATCCACCTTCACAAACACGGTCGTGTACAGACACACACACCAGAAACAAAGTACCTCGGCATGGTGGACTGGACCACCAGCAGCTTTCAGAAGGGCTGAACGCAGGCAGATCAGAGTTTGGAGCCAGCCTGGGCTGTTCTGCCTAGTGAGACTGCCTCAAAAGCTGTGAGAGGGTGCATGAGAACACTGTGATTGTTTTATCTTTTTTAACAGCCTGATTCATTTAACTTCTTTAGATGAAACCCAAATCTAACTTTTTTTTTGAGACAGGGTTTTTCTGTGTAGCCCCGGCTGTCCTGGAACTCATTCTG